TACAAAATAGATAGAGATAGAGATAGAGATGATAGATAGATAGATAGATGGATGGATGGATGGATGGATGGATGGATGGATGGATGGATGGATGGATGGACGGACGGACGGACGGACAGACAGACAGACAGACATCATAGACAAGAGAGAGAGAGAGAGAGTTAGACAGATAGACAAATTGATGATAGATGGGTAGATAGATAGAGATGAGGGAGATGATAGATAGATAGGCAGACAGACAGACACAGACAGACAGACAGACAGACAGATAGACAGACAAATAGATGAGAGAGAGATACATGAGAGAGAAAAAGAGACAGACAGACAACATAATATAGAGATAGATGATAGAGAAACAGAATCCAGTTCCATATCCACATTGAGCTGAACGATGTAGAAGTTTGTCCTTTGCATTAACACACCTGGTCACTTCAGACGTTTATCTTACAATCTCATTTTCAGAGAAATCGAGGAACATCCCTCTATCTTTCCAATGGATGGTGATGATCCCTAAATCCTTCCTACCTGTTTAGCGGCGTGAAGAATATCCGAAGCGGAGGCTGTGGCCACCATCAATCTCTTGTTCCCTTTATTTGTCTGGAGAGACAAAGACAGGCCCGCCACCAGTTGTACTCCGAGGTCCGTGATGGTCACTCTGTCTTCTAGCACGATCACAGTCTTCTCAGCCAGAATGGAATCGGACAGAGGAGAAAGGACCTTCAAATGTGGGAAAAGAGGGTGAAAACTCACATTGCTCAACCTAAGAAAGTCAGACAGTGATTTTAAAGCAAGAATTGGGATCTTCGGAGCCATCATTCAACTGGTCCACTGGAGAAAGAAGCAGATGGTTCTCCTCCCAATTAAAGTGGCCGTTGCAAAATTTCAAACTCTCCCAAGTGTTTCAATGCTGCCCTAAACCTATCGCAGATTAAGTTTACAGAAAAGACAATGTTAATATACCTTCCTTACATGGAAGTCTCATTGAGTTGAACTGGCTCCCAAGCAAGAAGGTAGGATTTGGAGGCCTCCTTAGAACTTTTGAAAGTTAAGCACTTCTCAACTTTTTCCTGAATTACCCAACTTATCTTCCTGTTGTGGTCTGTCAGCCACCAGCCCCTCCAGCAGCCAAATCAGAGGAGGAGGAGGCTTGGGAGTCAGGGTCAGCATCAAGGCAACCTGGGGGCTCCCAGGGGGAAGAGGGAATGGAGCTGGCAGAGAAAGAGACAGAGGCAGAGTCTGAGCCGTCTGTCAACCCTGAGATGGAGAGTCAACAGCCCCCAGGTCTGGAGGTGCCTGATGAGGAAGAGGAGGAACAGCTGGGTCCAATGCCTGATGCATGGATGCTCAGAAGGCAGGGGAGAGGAGAGCAGTGGAAATCTATGGGCCGATCCTTGGGACAGAAGAACCACCACTGCTACAGAACCTCCACCCTAGCTCTTGGGATCAAAGGCAGGGGGTGGAGATGAATAGA